GGGGTTGGAGGGGGTAGGGGGTTTGCTGGTGTGCTTGGAGGGGAGGTGGAGAGCTTTTTGAGGGGGATTGAGTGCGTTTCAAAAGAGTCGCTTGAGGGACATTTTTCGAAACCCACTTGAAAAGACCATTTGAAGAGAATTTTGTGCCCCACAAAATATTTTGATGTCTTTCGAAAATTCAGGGATTTTTGGGTAGAAAAAAGATCGGAGGTGAGGTCTTTCTTAACATTTACCAAATTGACAATTTAAATTATTCTGCAAAAAAAAATCGATAGACTTCTTGTAGAAAATGTAGACTTCAATAAAATTCATGTTTCTACACTTGGTTAATCCACCAGTTGAGAAAATATTCTCGAAATTATGATTGAGGAATTTTCAAACTGATGGAAATTTAAATTCTCATTATTCTGCAAATACCTCGAAAACTGGTGGCTTTGTTCAAAAAAGGAAATTTTTCTGTGGTAAATTACCTTTTCATATTAAAAAAAAATAATTAAATTACAAAAATGACTAATTCAGCTTCTAACCCTGGCATATTAAAACAAAAAAAACATGCAAGTTGTCCGCAAATTGACCCCAACCCAAAATGTTGTGTTGCAGAATGGAAAAGGTAAAAAATCAAATTGCGGTAAACTGAAGAATGCCACTGGTGAGCAGGAGGCGCCGCCCTCCGAGGAAAATCCCGACGTGTCCTGTAAGAAGCGCAAGACCCGCCGAGGTAAACCAAAGCACAGAAAGTTGAAGCCCTACACGAAGCAGCCGGCGTTCGAGCGCCAGCGTCGTCGCTCAATGGGTCGACAGATGAAGAAATCAGCGCAGCCCCCAGCCCCCTACAACACGACGCAATTTCTGATGGAGGACCACAGCGATCTGCCGGACCTCGAGGAGAAGTTGGCGAAGACCTCGACGAATCCAGAGGTGGCGGTGCCCTTCCAGAAGCCCGGGGGTCCCCCGAGGACGAGGGACTCGAGTTTCAGCATCGACTCTGATGAGGATTACTTCTACTCGTCACCTGAGGACGAGGAGGAATTCCTCACAAAGGAATTTTCCAGCGCCTACGAGGATCTGCACGCTGAGAGACTGAGTGCCTTGTCGAAGTCTGAGTTAATCGAGGAATATGTCCAGCTGGAGGCGAAGCTCGATCTGCTGACGAAGCGATTGAGATCGAAGAATCTTCAGACTGATGAGGTCGATGGGAGGAGCGATGGGGAGATGGCCAAGAAGGTCAAGCTTTATCAGCAGAGAATTGATGATTTGGTGCAGCAGAATGAACAGCTCAGGCGTGAGAATGAGAGCCTCAGGGGCAAGGGGGGCAGTTCGGAGTCCAGTGTTGACAGTGAGAGCGATAGTGACAGCAGCAGCAGCTCTGGACACAGTGGGTGCAGCTGCGTTGGGGGGAATGCATCACCTGGGGGCAGGAGGCGTAATGGCGAGGCCAGGGTCAATGGGAGAGGAACGACTGATGACAGCAGGGAGAGGAGTCGTTCTGAGAGGGCCAATGGCAGCGCTACCAGTCAAGAAATTGAGGGACTTCCCACTTAGGGGGCAGCGGGAAGGGGGTCTGAGGGACACTCGCTCGTCTGCTAACATGTGTGATCCAAAATATATTGACCAAAAATCGGGGGGAGGAGAGGCGGCTGGAAATTTGGGGGTGTTTGGGGACATTTTTTAGGGGATGGGGTGGATTTTTTGGGGGGAAATGGGGGGGTCGATGGCTGGAGGGAGAATTTGTGGAGGTCTTGAGATCATTTTTCGAGGAAACTTTTTGGGGTGGGGGAATCCAGGGAATTTTTTTGAATTTATCGAGAAAATTGGGAAGCATTCGGTTTTCGAAAATTAAATTTTTGTTATGGATTGTATCTAATTTTTATGAAATAGGATACATTCAAGAAGTTTTTTTAATGACTAAAAATGACTCAAAATATTTTCCTTGAACTGTTTTTTTGGGATATTTGGAAAAAAAAATCTGCAGATTCAATTCGATTATTTTGAATTTATTTATAAAATTGAGGGATTCTGGGGAAAATTGGAGATTTTTTTCTCTGAAATTTAATTTTGGGTAGAAATGGTCTCTAACACTCACAATATATTCAGGAAATTTTTAAAATAACTGAAAAATGTGAATACAAAATTTACTTGACTCTCTTTTTTGAACATTTAATTCGAGTTTTGGATGAAAAAAAAATCAGAGAATTTTTTTCTTCTCCGGAATGTTAGTTTCTGATATTCACAAAATAGTGAATAAAAAATGAAATTTTGTGCGCATTATTAGAGAATACCTCTGAGACTATTCAATTTAGAGGGAAAAAAAATTCAAGGAAATTAAATTCTCCACAAATGCCCTCCACATTCCAAAAAATGCTCTTATTAATGAGTGAACCCATAAAAAAATATCGATTAATTATAAAAAATAAAAAAAAATTGACATTTTTCTCAATCAATCGACTGTTTCCCCAATTGTACTCATCAACGAGATAATTCCACAATTACCTCTTGATCAAAACATCGAATTTCATTCCCAAATTTTCATTACCTCCCCTTCACCGCTCTCACCGTCAACATTTACGCTTCATCGGACTCTCGACTTTCAGTAAATCTAAATTATTGTTTCCTTAAATTCCTTACAAATATTTTTTCCCTTACGTTGAAGCAATAAAAACTACAAATTCATAAGATTACTATACTCTCGCTCCGTAGTTAATAAAAAATTCCACAATAATCATTGTTAACAGCACAAAAACGTTAATTTCCGGGTGAAATAGATAATCGTAACAATTTGAATTATAAAATAATGGGGAAAAAAACAGACCATCAACTAACGAAGCGAGATTTAAAGTTCATCACGTCATTGGTCGATTGAAATTTTCATTATCATTGAATTGACAAATTCTAAATATAGATTATTAAATGCAGCGCATTTAAGAAGAGTATTATCGCCACACAACTGTCATGTGAAATTGTGAGGAATTATGTGAATCGTCTGTGGCGTAAAGACGTTTATATAGGATGAAAGAAAAATTTTTCTCTATTGTACAATTGTATAGAAAAATTTTTTAGTAATAAGGCGGTTTAATATTCGAGAGATATGTTAGTTTATGGTCTGAAATTATTTCTAGGTTTTTTCGCCAATTTTTGAGTTATTGAGCCAGTGAGAACGATTCGTCGACGAATGGTAATTGCAATGGTTTTTGCTGTGACTGCAGTCTGACGATCTTGAATGTTCAATTGTGCGTATAGTGAAGGAAATATCCCAATGAATCTTATCGAGGCTGACTCCTCCCCAGTGATGTAACACAGGATATAAACTTTTTTCGATGCTTATTTATTTTTTAAAATCTGGGTTAAGTTTGTTTATCTTGGGCTCAGTGTAAACATTTAATGTTTGCAAATGTTTTGAGGGGATATGTTTTTTTTTATTGTCAGAGAGTCGCAATTGACTCCAGGGGTTTTTTTTTCAAAGGAAATCATTTCAGAAATTTTTGTAAAGCTCGATTATCTCGATATTGAGGGGTTTTAGGGGAAATTATGAGGAGACACTTTTTGTGGAGAAATTGATTCGCTACAGAAAAGGTCTACTGGGATTTCACGCTAGGGTCAAGCGTTCTCGAGATAAATGCGCAGTTTCAGGGAAAGCTTTTGCGTTCTTTCGCAGACTTCAAGTAATCGTGAATATCTTTGGAATTAGTGGTGAAATCGAAAAATGTCAAAAGAACTTTTTTCTAGATCATGACATTTTCTACAAAAAAGTCTTCTGATGTTTTTTTGTAAACCTCGTAGTTGCAGAGATATTCGAGATTTTATGAGGAAAATTGAATTTATTGAAGAAAAAACTTGAAATACTTTGTCAACGACTTGTTTCTCACTCCCCCTCTCTCGCTTTATCAATCAAATATCTTGATCTTATTAATTTTACTGTTTAATATGTAAATGATCCCCTCGTACTAATGCTCGATTTGTTTACTACGAGATTCCTGAATTTTTGACTGGAGTTTTCAGTGATAAAAATCGATAAAAAATTGAAAAATATCATGCTGATGTTCTATTATAAACCGAATTCGATGAATGGAATAAGTTATGACAAATTGTAAACTGAATGGATGATAAATGTACCACTTAAGTGAAAACTTCAGGAAATTTATGAATAAAATTATGATTAAAAAAATGTAATTTGTTTTTCGGGGAATAATCCCAACGCAGTGCGAATTTATGGAGATTTTTAAATTATTTGGATGAGTAATTCTGGGGTGGAAGGGAGGTAGAAGAGCCTAGAAAATATTTTCAGATTTTTTAGTGGATATTTATTTGATGGAGAATTTTCAAAGACATTTTGTCAGGAAATTTTCACGAATTGAAAAGAATTCCTCTATAATTTTTCCCTTGCATTCACTCGTTCTCAAGATGCTTAATTAAAAATTTTAAAAAATTCTGCAAAAATTTCTATCATTTTCCGAAAATCTAAAAAAAAATCAAACAAAATGTTTTAGATTCTTCTCCCATTCTCCCCGATTCCCTCAGAATAATGAAATGCGAATGAAATGACGCTCTCACAAAAACATAATCACGTCGATTAAAATAAAGAAATAAAAAAAAAACAATTGTGATATGCGACTTATTGTGATACAGCATATAATTCCAGTTGATAATTCGGTGGTGACGATCCATAATCACGTATGCGTTTCACTTTTAGAAAGAAAAATGTCGAAAACAAAAAAAATCCAACGAAAAGGAAGAAACTAGCACATAAGAGAAAATATCCCAACTGTTGTGTTAATCTCCAACAATTGAACGATTGTTCGGACGAATGAATTAACTGTAAAACCACTGCATTCATGAATCAATTAATTTCCCCCCTGCAACAAACCAATTATTTATTGTACAATTCAACTCATAAAACCCCTCCCAACTCACGAAATCCAGATTTTTCCAAGAAAAATTGATTGAAAGAAAATAAAAAAATCGAATAATGAAGATTATTGTGCATTTTTTAAACCGTTTTTTACCCATTGAGCAGAACGTTGGAGAATTCACCTCACAGATGTCGCGAATCTGCAGTTCATGATCGTTTAATAAAACATTCCCCACAATTTCGTAAATATCTCCTTTCCCTTCACCCCAACGAAAAAATCTCAAAAAAACTTTTATAAAGAGTATGAAATTGTGCACAAAAAATGTTTTGTGAAGTTTTTTCCTAAAGCCCATTGTTTTCAAGATATTCACAAAAAATATCTTTTCTAAAAAAAATTAAATCCAGTTTCTACTCCTATAATCGATTCCACTGGCTCTTAACGTGTAATGAAGACTTTTAGAATTCTCCAAATTGAAATCCAAAATCTATTCTCTTACTCGGATTTTCCTTCCCCAATAAATTCATATTCTCAAATTAGAATTTTTTAAATTTCCATTTGAGTATTTTCTATTTGTAAATTTAACGTAAATTCACTCAACCGTTCTTAATCTTTCCAGAAAACTCCAACTTCTCAGCCACTGCGGTCATTAAAACGATTTTATCAATCACTCGAATGAAAACCAAATTTTCGCAAATTTGTTGTGCCGACCGTCAAAACCTTAGAAATCAATGGGGGATGTTATCAAAAATTATTATCAACATTAAATATACAAAACATCATCACATCCTACATCTCCATTAATTACCGCTAAAATTCCGTCAAAATTTCTCACATTTATTCCTCTCAAAAATTTACAAAAATCGCTAAAGCTCCCGTTTGCCCGCATCGTTCACCAGACTTTTCTTTCTACTCTCGCAATGTTTCTTCCCCTCCTTGTGCCCTCGACCCTTGCCCATGTCCTCCTCGGAAATCTCCTCCCCCATAATTTTTTTCGCAGAAGGAACGTAAACGACGTCTGGGTCGACACTCATAGTCGAAAAATCAGGCTCGTACTCCTCGATCCTCGTGCTGGAGCCCTTGGAGCTGGGGACATAGGCCTCCGCCACCTCCGAGGACAGGGAGGTGCCCTCCCAGGGCTCGTACATCTCGTGTCTCGATTTTTTCTTCAAACTTGCGAGGGAAATCGGTACATAAGCAGTGTCTTCAGTCAATTTAGCGCCTGACGTCGGTGTGTACTCGTCGCAGTTGATGGCAGAGCCCTTGGAGCTGGGCACATAGGCTTCAGTGACTGCTGGGGGCAGAGAGGACGTGCCTGAGGGCTCGTACATCTCGTGCTTCGATTTTTTTCGCAGACTCGACACCGAATTTGGAACGTAGGGGCTCCTGTTGGGGGTTTCTGATCGATTTGGGGCATCAGCAGGCGACGATTTTTCTGATCTCATCCGCTTGAGGAAACTCTTCCTGCTGGGGACGTACTGCAGGTCCTCCTGGGCCTTGAGACGGTTCGGCCCCTCTGGGGGCACGTACTCCTCGTCGTTTCCCTCCATCAAACGCCGAACTTTCGTCTCCGGACTGTCTTGAACGTCCGGGGAACAGGAACTCTTTTCTGGGTGGGATTTTGGGGGTTTAGGGGGGTTTTCCTCGTTGTGACGCCGTTTCGCTGGAGACACACGGGCTCTTATCGTTGGGAGGGACGAGGCGTCCTTCGGGGCCTCGTAAGAGTAGCTAGAACAGTTTTGGGGGGTTATTTGGGGAAGAAGTCGGGTGAGGGAGCGCACGAAATAAAATTGGAGTGGGTTTTTAGGGAAATGTGCAATAGGTGGTTTTGGATAGAAAAAATTTGTAGACTTTGATATTTCGGTACAAATTATTCTGAGGGTGCTTCTATGTAAACTCCTAAATTTTGTGAATTAGTTTGCTTCATTATCTTAATGAGAGAAGGAAAAATGAAGTAAAAATCGTTAGAGAATTTATGTTGAGGATTTTTTAAACGAAAGTAATTCATTTTTAACGAAATTAATTGCCGAAAAAATGAAGGAAAATATTTTCCAAATAAAAAAAAATAGTATTCTGTTGACATTTTTTTCTCATTCAAAAATTCCTCGTCTTCAATTTTGTGATTTGCTTTTCTCGATTTTGTTCAATAAAAAAAGGAAAAGAAATTATGAAAAAATTCAATAATTATTATATTTGAACGTTTTATTTTTATTTCAGCATTTCGTTTTACTCTTGTGTAACTCGAAAAAATTACTATGAAATGAATTAAAAATTGGAGGATAATTTTTTAGTATTTATGATTGTCTCACATGACATCCATCGTCTGAGTGGATTTCCTCCTCGCCAAGCTCTTCCGTCCGTCATCTCCGTGGGTGATTTTGCTGTTACGAAGGACAGCTCGCTGGACTATCTTGTACAAAGAAGACCAGTCCTCCAAATTCAACCACTTGTTCGTCAAAATAGTCTTCTTATCGATTTCCACTGATTTCTCCTTCACTGTTATTATCGCTGTGGCCATGCAGCTCTCAGAGACCTGTGGGAAAATTAACATGTATTTTTTTGGTCATAAAACCGTTTAAGAAAATTTATAATTTGTTTTATCCTGAGGATTGAGCCATCTTCTTCCAAAGAATTCTATCAGGAGGTGATAAGAATTCTATTTTTTCCTCAAATTCTATTTAAAAAATTCTTTTGGTTTTTGTATGAATTATGAAAACGACAGATCATTTTTATAGAACATTTTCTCGATTATAGAAAAATTCTTCTGATAATTTCTGCTAACATTTTTCATTTATTCATCACCTTCTGTGTTTTATTTATTTATTTATTTTCCATGGATATTTATGTCTACATTTTGAGTCCTATCATTGGCTTCTGGTGTTGAATTCGTGTTTCAATAAAATAAATAAATAAATAAATAACATGAACTAGATAATTAACAACACCATCTTCATCGTGACAGCATTGTTAAATTTTATACAGGGGAGGTTGGGATAAAACGCACACTTCTGACTTTTTTAAAAATGTTAATGAGGAGTTGAAATGTTGATAAAATTTGATAATTTTTTTTTCCAATACAAAGAACAACTCTTTCCCGTTGTGACGAGCCTAAACTGAGCTCAATTGATCAATTTGTTTCTGACTTATGAATAATTTTAAAAAAGTCTAGTATCCGTTTTACCCCACCCTCCCCTATTATTATTCCCACTCACTGACTAATTGTACACTTTAATTTGATCCTGTAAGTGGCCTTGTGCTGTTGGGTCTTTATGAAATAAAAATGAAATGAAAAATGAATTCATCAATAAAGAAAAAATTGAAAAAAATTGAAAAATTGAAAAAAAAATGGAAAAAAATGTGGAGAATGCCTCAAGTAGTTTTCAGGCAATTCCATTCGAATAGGGAATGGAATTCGAATGCCCCCTCCCCCCCGTTCACTAAAAAACCCACCCTAACCCCTCAAATAATTCCAATTATTGAGAGTAGAAAACGAGGTCAGGAATCTCCCAAAATTCTGATTTTTTAATATTAATCTGGTTTGCCATAGAAACAGCTGTTGAGATCGCGCGTGTAATTCCGCCAGCTGTTGACACAGTAACCCACCTTGATGATCTCCAGATACTGTCCATCCCGAAACATTCTGGAATAACGAACTGAGATTAGTTTCTGTAATTATTTTGACGAGTGGATGGAGCGACAAAAACGAAAGTGGTCGATGTGCAGTGAATAATGTGGAGGTCCCCTCCACACGTGCACTCACGCTTTCAGGCCTTGATAAACTGCGGTATCGGTGGAGGGGGTAGGTGGACTCTGCGGCACCTGTTGGCCTCCAATCAGCTGATTCTTTCGGTGGAAATTACCTTTCGAACGTTTTTGAGCCATTTTTTGGTGATTATTTTTGCCAAAATGGTGATTTGTGATGGGTTTTGATGTGTGAGAATGTTAATTTGGGATTTTAGTGAGTGAGGATGGCTAATTTATTGATGAAGAGGTTAATTGGGGCTTTTTCACCGATTTTTAAATTTTTTTATTAATTATTTTTGTGAAAATGTTGATTTTCGAGATTTATTCATGCATGAAAATAATTAATTAATTAATGTAATAAGTGATGATATCTAATTTGTTGATGAAGAGGTTAATTAAGGCTTTTCTAAAGACTTTTTAAATTTTTTTATTAATTATTTTTGTCAAAAGATTAATTTACGTCATTTAATCATGAATTAAATAATTAATTAATTAATTTAATAAGTGATGATGTTTAATTTACTGATGAAGAGGAAACTTAAGATTTTTCTAAAGATTTTGCTCCATTTTTTATCAATTATTTTTGTCAAAATATCAATTTACGTCATTTAATCACGAATTAAATAATTAATTAATTAATTTAATAAGTGATAATATTTAATTTACTGATGAAGAGGAAACTTAAGATTTTTCTAAAGATTTTGCTCTATTTTTTATCAATTATTTTTGTCAAAATATCAATTTACGTCATTTAATCACGAATTAAATAATTAATTAATGAATTTAATAAGCGACGATGTCTAATTTATTAATAAATAGAAACCTTAGGATTTTCAATCATTTTTTTCCGTAAAAATCCCCATGACATTTCTTCACATGTAAAAACATTAATTAATGATTTGCATAATTCATCATGTGTTAAAAAATTAATTACTTCCTTGAATGAGTGATGATAATTAATCTCATAGCTGAAGAGGAAAGCGAAGAGGAAGTAGTGCCGACAGATATGTCAGAGCCCCAAAAATGCCCGAAAGACGACTCTGGAGCCCTGGAAATTACTAATTTCGTTTAGAGAATCTAATCACGAGCTTCTCCATCGAGAACGATTTTTTATCTAATGCTCTACATCCGGTAGTTCATAACCTTGAGAAATTACGTAGAGAGATGTAGGGAATCAGCAAGGGGAGTGATGGTCATGTGTTGGATGAAGCTGCGAACATTTCTTCTCATTGTCGGATTTTTTGGAATTCTTTTGCTGATTATTCAGGTACATCACCTTTTTCATCTCCACGACATAACATTATTATCAAATATTTTTAAAAATACAGAAAAACCTGAAGGAACTGAGGGAGTTCTATTCGCAGAAAAAATTGAATAGATTTTTATGTTTTGTGTGAATTATTCTCTTCAGATTTTGGGACTCAAATTTTCTGTTTTTTTTCTTCATCTTTCATCACAAAATTAAGAAAAAAAATCTGATTGAACACCCATGGATTTTTTATTTTGTAAAAAAATGATTGAAGGTTTTTATTCGTTTTTTTTATTCGTGAAGGAACATTTTCATTATTCTACAGGTACATCTGACCCCTGGGGATGAAGAAGCTTCAATTCTCGAAAGTAAAACTCCTGATTTTGGTAGCACAGAGATAATTAGGTAATTTAATAAATAAATAATTGACTAATTCGTTCAGATGAGCCAGTCATCCTCTGGTGGACGCCTTTCGGGTCTGATGGGACTTCCAGGACGTGTGGAAAATTCAGATGTCATTTCACTCAAGACCGAATTTACCGGAATCACCAGAATCTAAAGGTAATTTTCAAATCATCAAAACTTGATGGAAATTAACATTTTGGGGTCTTTATTATTTTTTTATTTTTAAAATAAGGAATTGTCCTCCTGTTCCGTCACAAAATTGAAGGGAAAAAATTGATAAATTTATCCCCAAGTAATCTAATGGATTAAATACGTTGTGTAAAAATAATTCATGCAATGGGCTTGCAGGCAATTTTATTTTATGGCAGTAATCTGGAGATTAACGATCTGCCAATCCCTCGAGCCCCTGGCGTCCAGTGGGGATTACTCCATGAGGAATCACCCAGAAATAATTTAATGTTTGTTCACGAGGCGGCACTCAAACTATTCAATTATTCATCGACATTCAGTAGATTCAGTGATGTACCCCTGACGCTCGTTGATCTGCCTGGAGAGGAGGATTTATTGAGTAATTTGATACCTTTAATTATCCCTCATTTGTATTTCGTATTTTTCTGTCAAAAATTTATTCATTAGCTGAGAAAATTCCTTACGAAACCGTCTTGTCATAATGTCTTCAGCCAAAATTCGTAAAAAAAATAATTTTATTTGGAAATGATTTTCCCATTTTTCATTATTTTGTAGAAACGAAAAATGTGTGTCTGATATTTATCAAAAAAGTATTCTAATTTCATGTATTTGTCTACTTATTTTGTTATTATTTTAACGTTTAGTCTAGACAAAAAGTTTGTCATAATTTCTTCAACTAGAATTCATAAAAAAATAATTTCACTTCGAGTTAATTTCCACATTTTCAATTTTTCAGTGAAATAAAAAAATACGTGTGTAATATTCATCAAAAAAGTCTTTTAATTTGATGTAGTTGTTTTTCCAACTTGACATAATTTCAATTTTCGGTGCAGACAAAAAATTTTTTACACCAACAAACGAGAAAAACAGACTGATAAAGGAGGAAAATCTCTCTCCCCTGCTGTACCTCCAATCAAACTGCGATACTCTCAGTGAAAGGGATTTATACATCTCCGAACTGATGAAGTATATCCCTATTGACGCTTACGGGGCCTGCCTGAACAACCGAAACCTCCCGGAGCACTTGAGAAGCAATTACATCGAGAATTTGAACAGTGACGAGTTGAAAAAATTCGTTGGACAGTACAAATTCACTCTGGCGTTCGAAAATGCTGTCTGCGATGATTACATCACTGAGAAACTGTGGAGACCTTTAATCGTCGGGTCTGTGCCCATTTATTATGGCTCACCAACGTTCAAAGTGAGTTTTTTCGTTCGAAATTGGAAAAAATTGTGAATAAATTCCACAGAATAATTATTTTTTTGTTTTTAAATTCAGGATTGGCTTCCGAATAATTCATCAGCTGTTGGAGTCCAGGATTTCGAGTCCCCGAAACACCTGGCTGAGTTCTTGCATCAATTAATGAAGAACGACACAGCATATGAGCAGTATTTACCCCACAAATTAGCAAAAACTGGAATTTCCAATGACAGACTGTTGAGAAATTTGAGAAAAAGACCTGGAGAGCTGTTCAGTGTCTTCGAATACTACTACAGGACATTTCAATGCCAGGTCTGTGAGAAAATCCATCGAAATGAGCATCGAACAGCTTCGAGGAAGGAATACAACTGTGAAAAGCCAGACGGAAGGTTTAATTTTAATGGAAAAACTGTGAAAAACTCGTGGATTGACGCCTGGAATATGGAAAAATGCACCGGAGTATTACTTACTGAATATTTATTGAAGAATGAGGGCTTTAGGTCGAGGGAATTTAATGCAAAGAAGATGAAGATGTTTAAAACTAATGAATGTTGAGGATATTTCGACTTTTACTGGAAATTTTTAGCTTTATTAATTAGTTTTGGGTTAATTAATCACGAATGAAACAATACATGAGCAGTATTTATCTTACAAATCGACCAAAACTAGAATATCCTATGGATATGTACAAAAATAATAAATGTTGAGGATATTTTTACATTTATTGAAATTAATGGAGAGACTTGCTGCGAAGAATTCCACTATGCGCTTGAAATTCAATAAAAAATCTGATGAATTCGTTAGAAACGAATTTAGTCTGTTTGCTTGAATTTTAATGATGATTTCGCTTACTTCGACGTCTAGATACTTTTGCTGCTTCGAAACAAGTCCTCACAGCTTCTTGTTTTTCTTCAGATTTTTTAATTTGAGTCTCCAGAGCTTCTCCTTGCCCCAAAATACATGTCCTCTTAGCTTTTATCAGTGTCAGGCGTAAATTTTTTACCTGAAATGAAAAAATTCGTAGACAATATGGTAAATTTAATAGAAAATGCCATTTTATTTTCTTTTAAAAATTCTATTGATAAATTTTCTTCTATAGAAAATCCCCAAAAGAAAATATTTCATAGAAGGGGTCAGTGGAATTTTATCTGCATAAATTTCCTCACTTTCTACTTAATTTTTCTCCCCTTATCATTGAAAAAATCAAGCAAAAAAATTGGAAAATTGGAGGAAAATTCTGTAAAAATCTTTCCATAGAATAAATTTAAAAAGAAAGTGAATGGAATTTTCTAGCGAATTCTTTAGGCTTGATTTTATTGCGTGGCGCACGTACAGAGTGCTTTCAATCGCTGGTTCTTTCTCCTTTCATTCCTCAAATTTTTACGATCTCTCTCCTCTAGGGCTTCCAACTTTCGCAGCATTCGTGCATGTTTCATTTCCAAACGGTATATCCTCTGTCTTGCGGTGGCGCAAGCTTTACATCTGACGTGACCAAATTTTATGTAAGAAAGTACGGGAGCGACGTACCCTTTGCAGTCATCACAGCATCTACAACGCAAGGATAATCATTGAAAGCTGATAATTTTCATCATAAATTTTGCTACAGGAGTTTAAAATTCTATTGAAATTATTTTAGAAAAATCATATTTTTCAATTAAATCTCCTGGGCTTAAATTTCCATTTTTTTTCTCATTTCTCTTCATTTTTTATTACAAGAGAAGAAGAATACAACAGAATAAAAATAGAAAACCCCAAGAGTTTTCCCGAAAAATAAAAAATAAGAGGATGAAAAATAATAACAAAATATTAAATAATAAGCATACGAACCTGTCATTAATTCCTACCCCATCACATAATAACAACGGTTGTAAAATTTTAATATTATTCAAAACATTAGTAACAGTCACACCTGGACGAATTGATTCCACATAAACAGATTTCGAATTGAAGTAAACCTGTGAGAGAATAAAAATTCGATTAATTATTTTCAATAAAATATTTTTAATTCAATTTTTTTTCAATTTTTTCAATTTCATTTTTAAACATTTTTCCCAATTTTCCATTTTTTTATTTTTTCATTTCAAAATTCATTATTTATGGTCCTTAAATGATCGATACCTGTAATAATATTAATACGAATAGTAATAATAGTGATAATAAAATAAAATAATAATAAAACTGAAAAATCAATTATTTGAAATAATAATAATTCTTTTCAATAAAGTATAATAACAGTTTTCATTTATGGTCCATAAATGATCGATAAATACTGAATTTTGGACTTGAAAAATAAAAAAATGAGAAATTGGAAAAAATAAAAAAAAGAAATTTGAAAAAAGTTATTTTCGAATAGAACGGATCTGAGTGCCAGTCTCAATTTTTAATATATTGTATAAAAATAAATAAACAACAAATAAATGAATAAATCGTTTCCCAATAGCCCGCGACGTTTAAAACTCAGAAGTCTCCCCTTAACGTCGCATTCACCTGAACTCCCCCATCGCGCTGAATGTAAAATTCCTTCTTGGCATGTCCAGCCCCAGTGAAATGTCCAATCATCAGATGGTTCTTCAGAAGCAGGTGGACCCATCCGTCAGGCAGTGGAGTATCCTCCAATTCACTTCTCAGTCGTTCCAATGGGTTTTCGTAACTGGCAGGAACAGTTTTGTTGCCAGCAGATGCTGCAGTCATCTCATTCTCAGAGGAGATGCAACAGTCCGTTTCCATTTTCACGCTGGTGTCCTCGGGGAGAATTGTCTCAGTGTTCAGGCTGGGATACTCCGTTTTTATGGGCATTTCCAGGAGATTTGTCACTGGAGCCTGTGGCGGGAGGGCCTCAGGCGGTGGTGCTGTGGCCTGAGAGGACTTTTTTTCCTCCTCTCCCTGAAGGGGCAGACTATTCGTGCGGACGTTCTCCTGCGCCTGGCTGTTCTCTTTGTCAGAGGTGCGACAATCTGTTTCCATTTTTGTGGCGGTGTCTGCGGGGAGGACTGTCTCAGTGGTGTTCAGGCCTGGGTCCTCTGTTTTTATGGACATTTCAGGGGGATTTGGGCCTCCAGCTCCTGGCGGGGGCGCCTCAGGGGAGGGCGATGTGGCCTGGGAGGTCTTTTTTTCTTTCTCTTCCTGAGGAATTTTTATTGCCGGTGCAAGTAAGTGCATTTGAATAAAATGGTGGCAATTGTTAGGGATGTCCAAGGGCCTTTCAGAGTTTGGGGCTGGCTATATTATAGATTCAGCCATTTTCAATTATCAAAATTCAGGAGCGAAGCGGTAAACCGGGTTAAGTCGATTTTAACTGTTGGCCAGTTTTTGACGAATATCTCGGAATCTAAAAGAGATACAAAAATTTTTGTCATGACCTTTTTTGTAGAGCAAACTGAGGGTTATAAAAAAGGTCATGAGCAAAATTTTGCTATCTCTCTTAGATTCCGAGATATTCATCAAAAAATGGCCAAAAGTAAAAATCAACTTAACCCGGTTTACCGCTTCGCTACTGAATTGTCAGTTAAATTGCGTGAGAAAATTCTGAAGAAAAATCGTGGACATTCAGCGGTATTAAAATTCCATTTTGATCGGAATTATTTTTTTTAAATTTGTTGTTTATAAATTGATAATTGAAATTATTTAAACTTTCGGAAATCTAAATTTTTAGAATCGTTCTCTTGTTCGTCTAAAAAATTATTCAATTTCTAAATGATTAATTCTAAATGATTAATAATTCTTTGTTTAGATCAAGAAACCATTTCTTAATATTAAAAAAAAGTCTCTAAATTCAAAGTTATTTAATTGAAATAAAGTGTGAAGTCTTAAAATAATAAAAACTTCCAGATATTGTTGTCAATTCATGCAGTTCATTTCCAAATAAAGAACTATAACACGAAAATAGAATAGTTCTGACGAAAACGTCCCTTAACATGAAAAAAATCTCTAAATTTAAAGTTATTCAATTGAACCAAAGCGTAAACTCTTAAAACACTCCAAAAATTTCAGGAATAACACGAAATTTCACTGAAGAATGTCCCCTAAACTTACGACATTGTTGTTAATTCTAGCTTTAGGAACAGCCGTTGATTTTAAAGTTATCGTTCCGCGCTTTAATACGAATTTAACGTCTTTCGTCAAAGGGATTTCGTAATTTGTCCGAATATCCCCCTCCGAGAAATGCAGTGCACAAACGACTTCTTTGTCCCTGGCCTCTCGTCCCAAAGCCTCTTCCCACTTTTTTCGAAGTTCAGCGTTCTGCAACTGTCGAGTGTTCCCCCATAAATTTCAGTATCGAAGTGGTAAAACGGTACAAATGAATTTCGACTATTGGTCGGTTTTCAATGAATATCTCGGAATCTGAGGGAGATAGCAAAATTCATGTTATAACCTTTTTTGTAGAGCCGATTGAGAGCTGCAAAAAATGTTATTACGAAAATTTCGCTATCTCCCTTAGATTCGGAAATATTACTCAAAAACTCAACTGGGAGATGAGTCGACTTGAAGACATAACTTGGTCTGACCAATTGAGTGAAAAATATTTGGAGTCGTTCACCAAGAACTACTTACTCTGTTTGGAACTCTGAACAGGCTTTCGTTACGCACCCCAAGGGCTTTATTTAGGTTTCTCACGGCTGTTGTGCCGGATTTGCAACCAGAAAATGCACACCTCGCCATCATAACTGGTGCATTCGACAGGGATTACCGAAGAAACATTGAAAAATGACAGTACCAGTGCAGAGAGTGAATTTAAAGAACGAAAACGTCAAGAAATCTACGGCGTGTGCACAAATATAGGGATCAATAGAGTGCGATAGGTTTCTTGTGGATCCTCTGACGATGATTTATCGTCCACAGAGGTCTACATGACCTTGATACGATTACAAAATGCTCTGACGAAGGAAATTCCCCGGAATAACAACAAATCTGTATTGTGCACATAAATATGTGCAATTTATACTCTTGTCATGCTCTTGTTTTATTCCCCTTTCCATCATTATTCTTCAATGAAATGAAAAAAGTTTGATAATAACGAGGTGGAAGTGTTCTTCGTTCACGAGAGCGTGAAAATTCCTTCAAATGTTCAATTAAAAATAATAAAATACGTCTAATTTTATTTCCAGGTGATCCAAGGAAATCAATCGACGAGAAAATTATTTGGGCAATTTCAACGACTAGACAATTTGCCTGCATTATTATATTTTTTCTAAATAAGTGACTATGTAGTAATCTATGGTATCCGGTCTAAATGTTACGGTAAATAATATTACGATCCAAATTGTTACGGGGTCTAATTATTATTGGAAGTAATATTACGTTTTTTTACTGCTTTTTGATCATTCAATGAATATAATTTCCATTTCCAAATTATTGAATTCTGATAGTTGTGTTGAATTAAATTGTATCATTATTCATTATTATTTTCCGTTATTTATATCATTTTTCATCACCCGTGTCGAGCATTCCGATATAACTAACTTTTGTTGAAGAATCTTCGGTGTTGTGTGTGAATGTTTGAGGGAATTTTATTTTGTTTTGGGTTATTAATATAATCGTACCAACTCATACACCTGTTGAGTAATCGATGGTAACCGACCTCGGATCATATTTTTTGGTGTTGGGCTGTTATTGTATCGATTTGATTTTCGGGGAATTCCTAATCGAGCGGGTAAAGGTTTGTCCTTGATTCCATACCTTTATGTACGGTAATATTACGGTTCAATAATTTTTTGTAGTAATTTTCTGCGTAATATTTTGTCCCGTAATATTTTTGCGTAATATTTTTTACCGTAATGTAATGGTTCCGTAATATTTGGACCTGTAACCGTAATGTATGGTTTGATTTTATTCTATTGCGTCTTGTAATAAAATTTCTAGCTGTTTCTCTCAGACGGAAGAGCCATTATTATTCTCCGTGTAATTCCACTCTGCAGTTCCCTCTCCACTGCGCCTGCGTCTGGCAACTGCCGCGACCTCTACGATTTATTTGAAATTTTCGGTTCACCATGAGGATAGGCATCTTGTGTATCCTCTGATGAGAATTTACCACCGAGAGATGTCCGCACGACCTTGCAACGATTACGAACGTACCCAACGCAGAAAATTCCCTGGATATTCCAAAAGATGTCCCGTGCGCGCCAAAAAAATCGAAAAACTAGATCTAAAACGTCGATTCCCCCCAATTTCGATTTTACGACTGTCGGAAGATTGAATACGCCATAAATACCAGACGGAAACAATTCTCATTGCCCCAATTACTTTCAATTTTTCCCCCTGAAACATCAGAATTCTCCGTAAGCCCCAATTACTTCGAAACTGCACTGGAACATCTAAAAAAAGCGCAATAATTTTTCCAATTTCCTTCCTCTTTGAATTGCATTTTTATATTCCAAACTCGACAAACTTAATTTCACCGTGAAATATACTGAAATTGTTCCGAGAATAAGGATACGAGTTATTCGCATTTTGAAAGGTCACTTAATCACAAAACGGATGGGAAGACTGGGGGCGGGGGAGGGGGGTTGGAATAAAGGAGGAGAAAAATTTTAAATTGTCTCCGTTGAAACTTGCCCCGCAGGTGAGTAGTCATAACCCGAGTAAGTCCGGGGTCTATTCATTCATGGGGTGAATATACAGTTTCGCATGGATTGAAATTGCACTGAGTTTCCCGGAACGATTCTGTCTAATGTTCCAAAGTTCCTATACCGCTGTTGGAAAGTTTCAAACATGAGGCATTATCCGCGGCCGTAAATGAGGTGTGTCATTAATGTATGGATTTACGTTGGGGTATACCCGAGTCGCTTGAGTGGAGGCTTAGTTACGTCGACAAGCTAACCGGATAGACACCGGCAGATGACATCAATTAAAACTACCAAAATCTGGGGAATTGGAATGATTAGATTCATGGGGAAAGAGACGTTGGTCGGGGGATTACGTGGATGCACGGAGAGAAATGCTCGGTAAAAATTACGGAACTCACAATTCGCTCGCCGATTACGGAATCGACTCGGAAATTACGGTAATTCGTAATTTTTCAGAGGAGATTGAGATGAAAATTATGAAACGCGCTGGGACATTCCGTGACAGCCTCGTAAAATTTCCTACAACCACATTTCGCTCAGGAATTACGGAAAGGACTAATTTATATTGAATATAAATTACTTTTGTTGAAATTGTAATTGTATTCAATAGAAAAATATAAAAAATGCAATTTTTATTTAATATTTTTCTTCGTGTGAGGAAAAGGAGGGACTGAGGTTCGCGTCGTTGCCCTCGAGTGCATTTCAACGTTTCTTGAATATTAATTTTTTTTGGCAAATTTTTTTTCTGATTAGTAAAGAATATTAAAATGCAGCGCAGAACAAAATACATAATATGGGCCAATTGGATATATTTGTCAAATTTATCAAGAATTTATCAAAAATATACATAATACATATTTCATATAATTTTTTTATGTAAATTGGGCCAATTTAGAATATTTTTAAATATATTTTTCAAAATATAAATTTTTCCGTGCGGGAAAAATTGATCTATTTATTTATTTATTTATTTATTTAGTTCATTATTTTTTTAGATAAAATTTCTGTCATTGAGAGTGAGGTTCAGTATTTTTTTTACCCCTAGCCACCAGCGTCATTTATCATTCTAGAAAACTCTAGATTTTTCTGGACAATTCGGCAAAATTTTCCAATTTTTTAGAAAATGTGACAAACTTCTCCCGTTTAACAGAAAATTTTTCGCTTTTCCGGAAAATTCGAGAAAATTCTGCGTTTTTCCAGAAAGCTTGAGAATCTAGAAGATTTCAATATGAAAAAAAATTAAATTTGTGTCAATCGTCACCTCGAAGACGCCAGGAGCCAGCGTTCGGAATTCGTCACCACTCACCTCCTGAAAAACCCCTTACGCTCCCGAACGCTGACCCCCCCCCCCTAATTTTCCACTCACAACAGCCCAAATATTGATCCCCCCAACCTCGGCCCGAAGAAATCCCCTCTATTTGTTTACCGAAAGCTCTCATCAAGCCCATGAAATAAACCGTGTTATGTGCGAAGAAAGAGGCAGTACATAAAAAAGAATCACCCATGTACTTCAGCCTTGAACGCGCTGCGGAAGGGCGAGATTTGAAAATAAACCCCAAGATGAGAGAGCGTCCCTCGAGTTTCAAAGTCGTCTGATTAGGCTACGGACGCGACTGCGTCAGCCCAGTGGATAATAAGTCGGTACCATAAGGCGTTTGGGGGATAGGGCTTGGGAAAATTTTGGACGAGAGGGGTTCGAGCGAGAGTTGAGTCTAAAACCCGGGGATGTTACGGAACAAAGGGCAGAGTATAATGTGATTATCAGGGAAAAGGAGGGACCTCTCCTCCTTTCCTGTCTTATATCTCCCGAGATGATGCATTATTTAGGTATTATGAGGAGGAGTGAAGGAATCACCCCCGCAGGCTGTGGGGAAAACTCCTTGAAAGTCACTTCAACGTGATGTATCTCGTCCCCAATGCCATTTGTCATACGATATTTATGTCTGATTGATTCAATATATTTTTTCGCGGCGCACGAGGCCCCCGAGGGAGGGGAAACGCTCCACAATATTCATGATCGTTTAGCTTTTTCTGAGGATTGATGAATTGTCTCTGGCTCTGGTTTCTTGGTGGATTTTTTCCGAGGATTGCGTATTATTGAGCGATTATTTACTCCTGATGGATTTGCTGGGCTCTTGTGGGGGAGATCGGGAGTGCGGAGTAGTTCTGAATTTTTGAGCTGAGGAAGTGGTTGGAAGATCAATTACGTCGCGATGGGGGACGGAAAAATTTGTTCTGCCATTTACTGGCGGACGAAAAAGAAAGTGATCAAGAAAGCATGAGAATTTTAGTTGTAGTTATTGTTCTCGGGAGATTTCTATGACTCTCGGGTAAAATTTCGTCAAAATTACTGTTTGCACGGATTGTTGCAGTTGAGTTTTTGAAGAATATTTCCGAATCTAACGGAGATAGCGAAATTTTCGTGAAGACATTTGTTGTAGCTCTCAATCGGCTCTACAAAAAAGGTCATAACAAAAATTTCGCTATCTCTCTTAGATTCCGAGATATTCATTGGAAATATTATTTATTTTAAATAATTCAGTAGCGAAGCGGTAAACCGGGTTAAGTCGACTTTTACTTTTGGCCATTTTTTGATGAATATCTCGGAATCTAAGAGAGATAGCAAAATTTTGCTCATAACCTTTTTTATAACCCTCAGTTTGCTCTACAAAAAAGGTCATGACAAAAATTTTTGTATCTCTTCTAGATTCCGAGATATTCGTCAAAAACTGGCCGACAGTTAAAATCGACTTAACTCGGTGTACCGTTTCGCTCCTGAATTATTATTTTATTATTTTTATTATATACCGAATTAGTTTACCAATCAATAATCGAATTCAGAAGAATGACGATTATTTGATAATCTCTAATATTTTTTGAAAATTTCCAATTATTTACCTAATAGTTATTGAAAAAATTTAAATTCTCAATTATTTTTCATTTTTTATTAAGTTCCAAAGATAAACGAATGAATTCGGTTATTTGGGGGAATAATTCTCTTAATATTTCTGGAATAATTGATGCCGATCACTGGGCTAAAGCCTGGAAGCTTCAGTGAAAATTTTTCAACAGTTTATACCATTTTACCACTTGGCTACTGAATTGTTCTCCAGCTTCTCACCACACTGAGAAAAAAATTTATCTGTGAGAAATAAATTTTCTTAGCACAAGTAAATATTCAACTGTCCCACACAAAACCTCCATTTGATTACTTGTGTCAAGAAAATTTTTTCTGTTTTTCTTGGGAGAAGTAAATTTTTCTCTCAGTGCAAATCCACATTCCCCTCATGACTTGGCTGCTGAGACCCCATGGCCTCATCCAGAGCCACTAATTCTTGCTGTATGACTCTCCGACTCTCTCTCCTCCACCCCAAAAATTATTCTTAGAACATTGAGTGGTAGCGCCCATTCGTAGTGCCCCCGGAGTGCAAAAGAGACGAGGAGAGCTCGCCGGAGTATCTCGAGGGCAACATGAAGAGCGAAGAGAGATGCACGGAGATATCCATGGGTCTCAGCTCTAAGACTTGGCTTCTCTGAGCTGGCATACAGAATGAGAACCCATGAAACGCAACTTTTAGTCGTAGGAAACGACTGGGTATTTTCAACCCAACCAGTGGAACACGTGCAGTCACCCGGTGAACGTACCCCGAAATCCTCAACACACTCGATATTCCTCACTTTGTCGAGAGCAAGAGAGACAAAAAAAATAAAAACAATTTTTTTGACACACTTCATTTCGTACATTTTGTTTGAGTTTTCTGTTATATATATTTTTTTTTCAACGTTTCGTTTGGGTGGAGAAAACTCTTTTTACCTGTTATCCCGATTGTTTTTATTTGTTTGACTGCAGTTTGTACACCCGTGATTGGTAAAATTGTCAGTAAAATGCACGAGGATAAAATGAAAACAATGGGATAACGGAGGGACTACTGCTGTTGTTTTTTTTATTTTTGGAGTGGAGTAACTGAAAATATCTGCAGGGCAATTAAATGGCGAATATTAAAGTGGCGGTGAGAGTCAGACCAATTTCCCAGAGGTTTGTACATAAATACAGTGATTGGTTCGAGTTTTGATGAGTTTTCATTGTTGATTATTGAATTATTTTGGGGGGGGGGGGTGAGAGGGTCTGGTGGGACAGCTTTTTGTTGACTAGACGGAATGGGGCTTGACAGTTTTTAATTTAATAGGGGAGATGTAAGGTAATGAGCCATTTTTAATTATCAAAAATTTTGTTTATTTTGAAATTAGTTATTTTTTGGGGGAGAGCCATTGCAGGGGGGATATTTAGGTAAAATTCGGCGTAGAAAATGTGACAACAATGACTTTAGTCTTTCAATGGGGAATATTAAAGGGGAGGTGAGAGTCAAGCGAATTTTGCAGAGGTTTATATGTAAAATAAATATATTGATTGGTTGACATTGGAAGACAATGTGTTTTGACATTTATTTTTAATTGAATGGGGAGAAAATTATCAAAATCGTGAAAATCAAATGAAAATGAAATTTGTCAATTAAATTGCGTGAGAAAAATTCGAAAAAAATCATGAATATTCAGCGTCATTAAAATTACTCTTTGCAGAGAATAATAATTTTTTTACACAAACCTATTTATAAATAAATAATTGAAATTGTTTAAAACCTTTTTTAGACAGGAAATCGACTTCTGTCAAAATTTTGAATTTTAGATTTTAAATTACTTCATCAACTTTCTTTAAACGCAAGTCTTCTAATTTTTTTCAGATTGTAAATGTTTTCTAACGGTTCAATATCGAGATTCAAATTTAGACCCACAAAGTTTAAATAATAAAGTCGTTATAAAATGTCCAGATACTCCGGGTCAACTAGGGCTCAAACGAAAGCTCTGATGTTCGCTCACAAAACTAGAAAAGCATTCCACTGGAAAAAAATAGCCCGTAACAAAAAAAAAATGTCTTAAAAATAATTTACGCTTGAAAATCGCCCAAAAAATACGCTAACGGCATGAAAGTGCACGTCATATCCTCCAAAATCCGCGCCTGATTACAGAATTCATTCTGTCCCAGAAAGAATAACGAGAATAAATAACGACACAAATAAAGAAAAAACTAGAGCCCAATGACTGAATTTGATTGGTAACACGACATATTTGGAATATTATTGACTCGTTTCGAGTCCCCTCGACTGATCTGAATACGAAGTATATCTGGGATGCAGGTGGAGAATACGATTTTGATGCGTCTCATGTTTAGAGACACGAAAGCGCCCCTGTGGCACTATATTTAGATATTTCGAGTGATGGAAGTAGAATGGAGTCGGGAGTACTAGCCTGCAGGCCGTGTGGCGCTTTTGAGTGACATGAATCGGCGGAGGGGGGACCATATCACGGTCACCCGTGGAACAATGCCTTCGCGTGGTACATAATGCTATGAAAAAACGCCCAAAACGAGGGAATTTCTATACAGAAATGTATGATACGGAGATTTCGGGGGAATAAATAATACGGAATCGCAGACCTCATTCTTTCTGCATCAGTTATTTAGCTGTAAACGAGATAGAAATGAATCACGAAGAAGCGATTTCCGATCGATACTGTTATTTATTCGGTTTTAAGGCGGCGGGAGGGGTTCGTTTCAACAGTTGATTTCGAGGGATATGGATTTATATTGCTGAATGCCGGATGTTTGAGGCTTTCAACAAGTTTATGCACTGGGAAAGAGGGAATAAATGGGCACGACGAGAGGGAGGGACTGCGGAATTCTGCGTGTCGCTGCTTTTATTGGGATGGGAGTGCAGACGGGGGTTTGGGGAGTTGATCAATGACAGGTGAAAAATATTTATTGTTGTTTGGTTTGTAATATTGGAAGGGGAAGACGAATATAATGATGGGGATGAGGGTAATTATTAAGTTGACTGAGTTTTTTTTTCTATTAAAAATTTTTTTGACTGAGTTTTTATTGAAGATTATTTTTTGAGGTGATTAATTCATGGAAAATGAATAAATGGGGGGATGGGGGGGATATAAACGCGCGGTTGAGGAGTCTGAGGTCAATGATAAATGAAAAATATTGATCATTTTTACTGTTGTAATATTAAAAGGGCAAGAGGGTGGACGTAATTATTAAACTAATTGAGTTGTTTTTTAAAATTTTTTTAAAAGATTTTTTAGTCAATATTATTCTTTGGGAGATAATTAATTTAATGAAAATTTGAGTTGACTAGTAAACAGGTAATTCGAAATTTCTGGCTTTGATTTTTTGAGTGATTAAATGATCGCCAATGTTTCAAAATCGATCAAGTGTTTATGAGGGATTTAAAAATTGGAAAAAATTTTTGTTGGGGATTTTATTAGTTTAATAAAAATTATAAAGTTGGACAATGCAGTTGACGGATTTTTTATGCAATGGAATAATTTGAATCCGACATTAGGACTGCATAATTTTCGGGAGAAAATTATAAATTCGAGTTAGAAGAGAAAATCATCGAATTTTCCTAATTTTTTTAAAATTTCTGAATAATTAAAATTAAATTTAGAGTTTGTATTGATTTTTTTAATAATATTAGAATAAGAATTGAAATTGAAAAACAATTTCAATTTTTGATTGCCTAGTAAACAATTAATTCTAAATTTTTAATTGGATACTTCAAAGTCAATTCCGGATTTATAACAGATTAAAAAATTTTAAAAATTCGGCGGATGGTTGATTCAACCGGAATTAAAAAATTGAAAAATGCCAACGGACTTTTAAAATTATAACTTTGAGTTGGAGGAGAAAATCACGGAATTTTCCCCATTTTTATTAAATTTCTAAACAATTACAAAAAAATTTACAGTTCCTATCGATTTTGCCACAAAATTTTGAACTTTTTAACTGTTTTCCGTGAATTGTTGCATCCACAGATCAATTTTTTTACCAAAAGAAACGCAAGAAATCCCCCGAAAAAATAATCATTTTATACTAAATTAAGATTTCGCTTCCCCGAGTACCTTTCACTCCCTACAATTAGCCGCGAAAATGTTCATCCACCCTTTCCCCCCACGTGCTCTTCAAAAGTTTTCACCTCTCACCGTACAGAGCCCGCGAATTTACCAATAACTCCAGCCCCACTCCCCCCGCCCCCAAAAAAACCAAGACTTGTTGAGTTTAAATAAATCCAAACATTGAGCCACCGAAATAATTGCAATTCGTTTGAGTACAACCACGAATCGGTGGGAAAAAGGGATTTAAAAGCATCACGCAAGGAGTTTCGAGGATCATCGAGAGAGCGACACGCCTGGAAATTTACCACCGGGGCGTTTCACAGGAGAAAAAAAAACCCAGAGGGGATGGAATGAAATGAAGAGAGGAGGCAATCGTCGACGGAGGGGGTTGGATATGACTTTGCCCAGTGGCGTGTTATCGCGCAGCAGAATCTTATTTATTTCGTCACGCCAAAACTCGTCACGGTTTGAAAAATGGGTGACCCGAAAACTTGCACTTCCAACCGTTTCGACCTATCGATCGGTGGCCGGATGCTATGCATGCAATTTTTCTCCCCCTCTCTCTCTTTTTCTGTATCTGGGGGCTAATCGATGTCAATCGCTCATATAATTCGATTGATATCAGCGAATAAAATGCTTTTGTTGTCGAGCCTTTGAAATTCCCAGAATTTTCTACGCTGGGTATTTAGTTATTTCGGGGTTGTTCGTTCATTTCTGTTTTTTTTGGCTTCCGCGCGGAAGTTTTGGAATTGTTCAAATTCAAGTTTTGGATTTTTTGGGTTATGTCGACCCAGTATGATCCAATTCTCGCTAATGAATGGGTGGAATTGAATCTTTTTTTCTCAAATATAGATATTGTTGAGCCCCACCAATCGCCATCAATTAAAATTCAATTCATCGATTAGTTTTTTCAATTCTCGAATGATGACAAAATTAGGTGAAAAGAAATCTTATTCAATTTAATAAAATGAAGTGAACAATGAATTATACATGGTAAAAGGAAACGATGTGCGAAATAACCATTCGGAAGAATATTGCCAAGTTGTTAGCAAAAATAATTTCCCACTTGTTTTTTTTGTTTTACAGAGAAATAAACGTTACGGGGTCGGATGTTGTGGTTCACACGGGCTCGCGCGAGGTCTCCCTGACAAATCTGAAGGTGTCGTCTAGCAAGGCTGGTGACAGCCGCGAACGCACGAGGAGATATTCCTTCGATTACTGCTTCGATTCGTCAGATCCAGTGGCGGAAAATTATGCAAGTCAGGAGAGAATTTATTCGACACTCGGTGAATCAGTGCTTGAGACTATTTTTAGGGGTTATAATTCTTGTCTCGTTGCTTATGGACAGAGTGCATCGGGGAAGACGTACACAATGATGGGGACGAAGGTAATTAATTAATTGATTCATTAATTGAGTTCATTTTTTAAAAATATTTAAATCCAATTTTTCCGCCGAGTGAACGTCGATTCTGTATTATTTGACCCGTCTGATGCCACTGCGCCCCTCACTTGCCCCAGAAATGCAGAAATAAAATAGTATATTTCGTAATGAGTGCAAAAAAGTGTTTTTTGGCGAGTGGGAGGTGCATATCACGAGCCGAAGGCGAGTGATATAATCCCACGAGCTAAAAAATATTTTTTCACGAGGTACGAACAATATTTTTCATCACAATGTGGCGGAAATTGACGGACGTGATGAAAAAAATTTTTTCATCACGCGGAGCGTGCCGACAAGTTCACTTTTCGTCACAGCGTGATGAAAAAAATTTTTTTTTCACCGGCAGCCAAAGTGCCATATTTAGGTTTTTTTCGGGGAGTGGGAGGTGCGTATCACGAGCCGAAGGCGAGTGATATAATCCCACGAGCTAAAAAATATTTTTTCACGAGTTACGAACAATATTTTTCATCACAATGTGGCGGAAATTGACGGACGTGATGAAAAAAATTTTTTCATCACGCGGAGCGTGCCGACAAGTTCACTTTTCGTCACAGCGTGATGAAAAAAATTTTTTTTTCACCGGCAGCCAAAGTGCCATATTTAGGTTTTTTTCGGGGAGTGGGAGGTGCGTATCACGAGCCGAAGGCGAGTGATATAATCCCACGAGCTAAAAAATATTTTTTCACGAGTTACGAACAATATTTTTCATCACAATGTGGCGGAAATTGACGGACGTGATGAAAAAAATTTTTTCATCACGCGGAGCGTGCCGAAAAGTTCACTTTTCGTCACAGCGTGATGAAAAATTTTTTTTTTCACAGGCAGCCAAAGTGCCATATTTAGGTTTTTTTCGGGGGGAAGAATTTCCAAGCCTTGCTCCAGGGCTTGGTCACTTCCTACCTGGGCCATCCCCCAATTGAGTATAAAATATACTCGAATTAAGTTATATTTCTTTTCCGTGCTCCTAATGAAAATGAGCCCCCACTGTATTTAGAATAATTTTCATTAATTACTGGCGAAGCACACGTGCATTAACCCGTGAAATATGATTTCAGTGTTTGTTTAATTAATTAATGAATTACATTCCGTAACAATTGATGCGCACAAACACGATCCAGCCGCTGAGAGAATGAATATTTGGGTGAAATGATATAATTGGAGTAAAATGATATCAAGCCCAGTGTTAATTCATGCGGGAGAAACAATTTCACCGTGTTTACCAGCATTATTAATGAAAACTACACTTTCGATAATGACGTTAATTCAATTCGTCAAGAAATTTTCGGAGCACGATTGCTAATGCATTTGTATTCTGTTTTACGTTCGAATTATATCGTATTATGAGCTGCGTGTTGACGGAGTTAATTGGTTTTATGAACACACGGTTGATTGAATTGATTATTTACGGACGAGTGAGGGGGGTTCGTTATTAGGAACATTTGTTACGGCGATGAGGTTTAATTCGCGGGGATTTTTTTTATGATTTTCCAGGATGATCCGGGGCTGATACCGAGGATCTGTAATGGGATTTTTGCACGTGTTGCTGGACGTAATGAGACGAGCGAGGAGTCTTTCAGAATTTCTGTGAGGTAAGATTCATTTCACGAGGTTGTTTTAACGACACTCGTTATCTTTTAGTAACGGATCCGGGGAATGGTTTATTTTAGGTCAGTTGTTTGGGTTATTATTTGAATTAAGGGGAAATTGAGTTTTTGGTCAGACGACGACGGAATTTATTAACATTCAATAATTAATTATGCATTTGAAAAAATGTCGGTTAATTAATTTGCAGTGAAAATTGTGTTAATAGAGGAAATTCAAATAATTTTTATTTATTTAATTGACGAAAGGATTTAATTATCTGATTGAGAGCGAAAGTCTTTTTTCTCATTTTTATTGATTTCGTTAATTAAACGTTTAAATTAGTTGTCCTAAATCAATATTCTTTGATTAATTATTTAATTAGTTATCCACTTCATTAAGTAACATATAAAGTGAATCCAAGGGAAATGGTTCAATTAAACACAAAATTATTTGAATCAAGGGGAAATTAACTTTTTGGTCAGACGACGGAATTTATTAACATTCAATAATTAATTATGCATTTGAAAAAATGTCGGTTAATTAATTTGCAGTGAAAATTGTGTTAATAGAGGAAATTCAAATAATTTTTATTTATTTAATTGACGAAAGGATTTAATTATCTGATTGAGAGCGAAAGTCTTTTTTCTCATTTTTATTGATTTCGTTAATTAAACGTTTAAATTAGTTGTCCTAAATCAATATTCTTTGATTAATTATTTAATTAGTTATCCACTTCATTAAGTAACATATAAAGTGAATCCAAGGGAAATGGTTCAATTAAACACAAAATTATTTGAATCAAGGGGAAATTAACTTTTTGGTCAGACGACGGAATTTATTAACATTCAATAATTAATTATGCATTTGAAAAAATGTCGGTTAATTAATTTGCAGTGAAAATTGTGTTAATAGAGGAAATTCAAATAATTTTTATTTATTTAATTGACGAAAGGATTTAATTATCTGATTGAGAGCGAAAGACTTTTTTCTCATTTTTATTGATTTCGTTAATTAAACGTTTAAATTAGTTGTCCTAAATCAATATTCTTTGATTAATTATTTAATTTGTTATCTACTTCATTAAGTAAAATATAAAGTAGTGAATCCAAGGGAAATGGTTCAATTAAATACAAAATTATTTGAATCAAGGGGAAATGGAGTTTTTGGTCAGACGACGGAATTTATGAACACTCAATAATTAATCATGCAATTAAAAAAATGTGAGGTCATTAATTTTCAGGGAACATATTGTTGAAATGAGTAGAGGAATTTCAAATGAATTTTTGTTTCATTTGATTGATGAAAGAATTTAATTATCGCATTGAAAACGAAAGAAATTTTTTTTTTAGAATTTCATCGATTTCTTTAATTAAACGTCTCCATTAGTTATTCTAAAACAATATTCTTTCATTAATTATTTAATTACTTATCTACTTCATTAAGTGAAATATAAAGTAGTGAATCCAAAGGAAATAATTCAATTGAACACAAAATTATTTGAATCAAGGGGAAAAGTAATTATTGGTCAGACGGCGCAGAGAACGAATTTATCAACATTTAAATGTCAATTATTCATTTCATATAATTGAACCGTTTGGACGAAAATAACAATGTGTTAATCAATTTGCAGCGAAAATATTCTCGAAACGAATATGGGAATTTTAACTAAATTCTTGTTTTATTTCGCTGATAAAAAGATTTAATTATCGCATTGAGAAAAAAAATCTCTTCATATTTTCACCCATTTCCTTAATCAAACGATTCCATTAGTCATCCTGAATGGATATTCTTTGACTAATTATCTGATTACTTGTCTCCTTCATCGAGTGAAACGAAAAGTAATGAATCCAGCGGATTCATTTCCCCAATAGCTATTAATTAATACCGATAGTATTTCTTTGAAGGAATTTTTTCATTAATAAATTATGATGGAGTACGATCTCCAAAGGCTCGGGATAAATTTCCCCGATAACGGCTCAGTGTGAAAGCCAACAAACGCTGATACCAGCCGTGTCGATTCCTAGATGCTCATAGACACGCACACAGTCCGTTTATTACAGTGGAAATTACCCTTGCATCCGAGCAGTCATAATGCACAACCCAGAAGTCATTAGGAGGCAGTGAAAATTGGAGTAAGGGATTCGGTCAAGGTTTACACGCCGTGTCCCTTCGGCGAATTCAACGCTACGCCCGTCTGAATTTCGATTTTCAAACTGTTTTAATGCCCACTTTGGGAACAAAAGTTTCGACGAACAAATTGCAAGTTTAATTTGCAAACTTAGAAAGCTGTGATTTAATAAAAGGTAACTACTCATTTTCAATTTCTGGCTCGGGGGGTAGAAATTATCTGAGAGTTCTGGGGACTGAGGTTTTTTTGGTGGATTATTTTATTCGTTCAACATTTTTAGTTTTTCACAGGTTTTATTTGAAGAAGTGTCAACGAAAAATTATGAGAATTGATTTATTTATTTTTTGCTATTCTTGTTCTTTCGATACGAAAACTGATTTTTTTGTTAATTTCATTGGATGAAATTAATTTTATTGATTTGATGAACGAGAGGGAAATTTTTTATTACAATTTTGTATTTTTCAAAAAGAATTCGTTAAAAAATATTATATTCTGTACATAAGGCTGAGTTGGCAGAAGAGTTTTTGAGTTGCAAAATTTAAAAATTGAATTTTTTAAAGTATTTTTTTGATCAATTCAAATTTTAAAAAATTTAAATGCTTAAAAAAATGTTAAATTCATTAAATTTCTTCATTTTTTATTTACAGAACCGTAAAAAGGAAAAATTATAGACATCGATTTATTTTTATTGTTTGTCCTGATTTTTCACATAATATAATTCCATGAAATTCATTCTATTGATCTGTCAGAAAAGTAAAGGAAAATTTGTTATTACAATTCAGATTTTTGAAAAAATCATTCATTTCTTAATTTTTTAATTCTATCGTCTGTGGTTAATTCCATTCATTAAAAAGTATTATATATTCTGTAAAAAAATCAGATTGGTCAGAGAATCATTTCAGTTGCAAAATTGAATTTTTAAATAACAACTTTTTTTTAACCATTTAAAATTTCAAAACTGTAAATAATTTAAAAAAATGTAAAATTTCTTAATTAATTTATTTTCTTCCAATACAATCTGCCGAAAGCCACAACAATGTTCACCATAAATTCCCCAGAAATTCTCTACAATTTTCTCACGCATCGAGTCATAAAAAAAAATTCATGTTCTCTATTTACCCCATTAAATCGATTAGGAATCCATAAAACAATAATCGGCTAAATACTCCAAACAAAGCAAGTAAATCCGTTTAAAATGGGTGTAAAATCCACGTGTCATTGGCACGAGGCAGAAGCCACGCGGGTGATAGTAAATACCATTCCCTAGTCATCAGATGTACAACACAAAGGGATGAAGTGAAAAGGCGACGGGAGAATGGGGTGGGTGAGGGGTGGGGTTTACACAAATCGCGAGTCGCGCGAGGCCCTCGCGAGGCGTTCCGGTGGCCTCGATGTGTCTAAGCTCAGTGCCTCGTGACTCGCAATCCTAGACGGACGGAAAAGCACATTGAACTGTGGTAAGAATTGAATTCTATCGCTCCCCAGTGTATCCCGACAATTCTCCCCCCTCGAGAGAGCGCGAAAGCGAAAGAAGAAAAAAAGAAAACGCTTTATCAAATTATCTGACAATTGCAGTCGAGTAAGATTAATCACGACTCCCGGATATCCCTCCAATCTGGATAACTACGGATACCTAAAACGATTCGTCATTGTACTATTTCTTGATGCAATACGAAATCGATTCGTTGAAATATCGCTGAGTATCCTTGGTGCAATCGTGAATCACGATTACTATTCAAAATTCCGGATATTGCGCTTGCATTCGGGATTAATGCCACAGGAAAAATTAATGCTTCCATGCTGTCTTGCTGGAGGATGTCGAACAATGGAGAGTATCTTATGAGGCGGAGGGCCGGGGGAATTGCGGGGGAAACGGTGAGAGAATTATGGAAAAATGGTGATGGGTTTTTTGGGGGAAAATTTTCCAGAGTACTGGGGGGCTTGGCCCCCCGCTCGCTAGCCGCGGGGGGCTTCGCCCCCCTCCCAACGCTTGACAGATGTTGGATAACTGATATCAGTGAGAAATGAAAAATGAAAAAAAATTTTTAGATTAAGCCATCATTCAATCAATTCAGAACATTTTTTAGTCGAAAACGTGTTATTTAAGACATTTGAGATTTTAGAGATCACAAATTCTGCCGATAAAACACATTCTTGTGTCTAGTGTCTTAAAACATTTTAAAGACATTGGTTTTTACAGCGCTCGCAATTTTTTTTAATACAATAATAATCTCGTAATGGCAAGAACAGTCAGGAATGCAAAAAAATTCACAAAAACGATCAGTTTCCATTGAAAAATGAATCAACTTTGAGTTATTTTTGACATGATTTCTCCTCAACTTCTCTCTTTGTGACAGACAACTTCATCAGTAATTCATTCGAATGAGCTCCTCCAGTTAGGAGACTTCTCCCAGTAACAGAAAATCGAATATCTTAATAATTCAGATGCTTCGTTTAATTGGGATTCTTCCGAGTACTTTGAGAGTGTCTACTTAATCTCGTCAAAAGTAGCTTCAAAAGACTACGGAAGTACCTTTCCTCGGAGCATTAGTTTCGCGGCAGTGTTCTACGCACGGCTGATGGGGAATAAGACTGTTGAGGTATTAGATACCATACCATCTTCGCAAGTTGTAATTATGAAACTATCGCGATTCGGGGAGGGGGCGGGGGGCGTTTTGCTGCAAGACTTTCACTCCTTTGAAGAATGCTCTCTGATCTTTCATCCTAGAATCACTTGTCCCAATTTTTCATGAATTTTTTTATGAATTATTAAAGATGAATTAAAGTAAAGAATTGAAAAAAAAATTCACGCGAAATTGTCCGGTCGAAATTGCAATGAAAATTGTTGAAAATTCCAGAAACTATTGCTCTGAATTC